CACTGGTTCTGCTGTGCTGCCTGGGCTCGGGAGCAGCCCATTAGTTCTGAGAACATGTCCTCTCGCGTCTTCTTCTTCCTCCGCCTAATGTGCGCTAGCCTCTGGGAGTGTGATGCCAAGCAGTGTTGGGAGACAGTTGCAGATGTGGCTGTGGGAATGAGGAAAAGGCAGTGAATTCCTCCGAAAGATAAATGTGGTTGTGAATCAAGAACATAGTTTTTCTCTGTGAACAAGACCATGAACCACACCTATCACATGCGCACTCAGGACAAGGTCGAATTTTTGAACCTCGCCTTCACTGCCTGGGCTTTTGCACTGCCGATCTGGGAAGCGGGGCAGGACACGGTACTCTCTGTAGCAGGCAAACATGGTAAGCCGTAGACTTGTGGCTGCTTAAAACTTTAGGAGTACCACTGGCCTCCTTTCACATTGAAAGCACTGCCAGTCTGTGCTGCCAGCAATCGGCCAAGCAGGAACTCTGGCCCTGTCCCACCCCCTCGCGGATGAGCCAGGGAAAGATCCCTGTATGCTGCCCCTCTCCCGCCCCCACCGCATGGCTGTAAACCAGCGGTTACAGTTCTGTAAAGGAACTTGTTGCAAGCAGTCCCAATACTAACAGTCCCCTACCTAATTCAAAGCAGGTCATCATGAGCGACATTACTCTCATGAGGATCCCGGACACCGAGATCCAACGGATGCTTCGAGAAAGCCTGCAGAGACCGGGGCCCTATGCCGCCATGCTATGCAAGGCAATGATACCGGAGTACCTGCTTGTCTCCTGGCGCGGGAACGTCTCCTACTTCGGAGGACCAAGTAAAGCCGCTCTCCCCAGGAACCTGATGAACAGGCTATCCCATTACCTGCAGGAGAGCTTTGTGGAGATGTCCGTGGAGGACTACTGCTCTATCCCCGGACATATAGACAGGATTCTAATGTAGCTGCAGTAGCAGGGACTAAAGAGTGGAGCAGCTTGGGCAGCACAATCATGCACAACCAGACACTGTTTGATTTTTTTTAAATAGTTGTTACTGATTACTTAAGCGCCCAGGGGGAAGAAATCATGATTCACAGATTGTTCTTAGTACTAATATTCAAGTTTTGTAAAAAATAAAGGTTAATATGTTTAAAGCACTTACCGCTTGATCCTTCGCCTGAATCTGTGTCCAGGTTACATGCTGGGAAGGGTTGGTAGGGGATCTCTGTAAGGGTGATGAAGAGCTCCTGGCTGTCGGGGAAATCAGCGGTGCAAGCGCTGTCGACTGCCTCGTCCTCCTCATCTCCTTCCTCATCTTCCCCGTCCGCTAACATGTCCGAGGAACCGGCCGAGGACAATATCCCATCCTCAGAGTCCACGGTCAGTGGTGGGGTAGTGGTGGCGGCCGCACCAAGGATGGAATGCAGTGCCTCGTAGAAACGGGATGTGTGGGGCTGGGATCCGGAGCGTCCGTTTGCCTCTTTGGTCTTCTGGTAGCCTTGTCTCAGCTCCTTGATTTTCACGCGGCACTGCGTTGCATCCCGGCTGTATCCTCTCTCTGCCATGGCTTTAGAGATCTTCTCATAGATCTTTGCGTTCCGTCTTTTGGAGCGCAGCTCGGAAAGCACGGACTCATCGCCCCACACAGCGATGAGATCCAAGACTTCCCGATCAGTCCATGCTGGGGCCCTCTTTCTATTCTGGGATTGCACGGCCATCTCTGCTGGAGAGCTCTGCATCGTTGCCAGTGCTGCTGAGCTCACCACGGTGTCCAAACAGGAAATGAGATTCAAACTGCCCAGACAGGAAAAGGAATTCAAATTTTCCCGGGGCTTTTCCTGTGTGGCTGGTCAGAGCATCCGAGCTCGGACTGCTGTCCAGAGCGTCAACAGAGTGGTGCACTGTGGGATAGCTCCCGGAGCTATTACCGTCGATTTCCATCCACACCAAGCCTAATTCGATATGGCCATGTCGAATTTAGCGCTACTCCCCTCGTTGGGGAGGAGTACAGAAGTCGAATTTAAGAGCCCTCTGTGTCGAACTAAATAGCCTCGTGGTGTGGACGGGTGCAGGGTTAATTTGATTTAACGGCGCTAAATTCGACATAAACGCCTAGTGTAGACCAGGCCCTACTGTACTTCCTTCTGCATGTTATGGTTTGTAACCTTAATCTCTGACTCAAACAGATCCATGTTATTATTTAACATTTCAATTGTGGTAGCATATGTAACATTGAAACAAACAATTCAAAATGCTATTTACATCAGATGAGGACCTGGTCTGGTGTTCCTTTGGTTGATTTTTTTGCCCCCTTTCTATCCTCAAGTGTATACAGTTTCAAAGTAAAAATATCCCCACAGCACTGTAGATTTTAAAACTATGTTTCCTCAGCCTGTAATACATCAGTACGTGTCTCATTTAGAATTACTTCTTTACAAATTTTTGTTCTGACCACACAGTTTAACTGCACGTAAGCCACATTAAAATAGTCTATTCCCTGGGGGTTTTATTACACTTAGTCTTTCTTGGGTTCACCATAAATCATAGAATCATAGAATATCAGGGTTGGAAGGGACCTCAGGAGGTCATCTAGTCCAACCCCCTGCTCAAAGCAGGACCAATTCCCAACTAAATCATCCCAGCCAGGGCTTTGTCAAGCCGGGCCTTAAAAACCTCTAAGGAAGGAGATTCCACCACCTCCCTAGGTAACGCATAAGGCTTGATGTGTGTCTTTTCACTTATTCTTGGTTTATCAATTGTCATTATTATATTCAAACTCAAATATTTTAGTTTAAATCCCATGGGTTTAAGTCAGAAAGAAAAGAAATTGATTAAAGGTTTTGAAGTTGAATGTTTCCTAATTAACTTGCACTGAATGCCAGTGGATATAGGCAAAAAGTTTCTAGTGCTGACTTGACTTCCTTATGAAAGACCTGATGTAGAATTATTAAACTTTGACCTTTCCTATTTGTGGTTTATGACCTTCAGACACTGATGCATGATGTTAATCCACGCACAGTGTTTGGGGAAATCAGCATAAAATGACAGGCTGTTACATTTGGCTAGAGAAAGTTTGTTATCTAAATGTAAATTCCATTAACAAACAAACAATAAGGATAATATAGCTCCAGATCCCCTGCAGATGTGCAGTAATGGGACTCAGGCTGACTACAGGATTTAGTATGATAACGTTTCTGCACTTGATAGGTTACTATAAATGCGTCACAACCCTACCTGCATTTCCATCGGAGAGATGTTTTAGATACAAGTACATTTATAATATTACACAGCCAATGAAAATGCTATTTCTTTCATGTGGCATATTTTTAACAAATCAAATGACTGAACACAATTACCAGGAATTTTGTGCAGCACACACAATAATAACTAACAAATGCTTCTTAAATTCTACTGTTCATTTTATCCTACTTTCCAAAATATTGACTTCTCAGGTGACCTATAAAATATTAAATACAGGACACTATCGAGTCAGACAAAACCAAAAAGCATTATACTTCTGAATCGATCCCTCTAGTATGCTTCTTTATAGTGCATTCAGACTTTTTCAAACTCTAAACAGAAAAGTGAGATGCTAAATGAATTGTCAGCAGCTTTTTAAAAACACTGGAATTTCTTCTGGGAGAAGTTTCACTGACACAGAAAGCGCTGCACAGCTACCTCTGTGTGGGATGGCCTACAAAATATTTCAGATATACCAGATGCAACATATTAGGCTGTGACAGATAAATTGGGATGTGTCTAAGACAGGGGCGGGCAAACTTTTTGGCCTGAGGGCCACATCGGGTTTCCGAAATTGTATGGCGGGCCAGTTAGGGGAGGCTGTGCCTCCCCGAACAGCCAGGCGTGGTCCGGCCCCTGCCCCCCCCCCTCCCCCCCCCCCCCCCCCTCCTCCCCCCGGCCGCCCCCCCCAGGACTCCTGCCCCATCCACCCCCCCCAGCTCCCTGTCCCCTGACCATCCCCAGAACCCCTGCCCCTGACTGCCCCCCGCTGCCCCATCCAACCCCTCCTGTCCTTCCTGACTGCCCCCGCAGGACCCCTGCCCCCATTCAACCCCCCGCCCTGTTCCCTGCCCTCTGACTGCCCCGACCCCTATCTACACCCCCATCCTCTGACCACCACCCAGAACTCTCCTGCCCTCTATCCAACCCCCCCTGCTCCCTGCCCCCTTACCGCACTGCCTGGAGCACCGATGGCTGACGGCGCTACAGCCACGCCGCCTCGAGCACCAGGACAGGCAGAGTTCACTAAAGGCCTGGGACTGTTACCTGTAACATGTTACCTGGGACTCCTTTCTATTGCTGCGGAGATTGCGCAAAAGATGCTGCTGCCTCAGGCTGCATTAGCTTTCGTGTGCATTCTCTACGAGAGAATGCAATGTGTGTCCCCACTCCCACCCCAGCCCTACACCTCTCCTGTCACGGATCTCTAGCCCATCACCAAAGTTATGCTCCTTTCAAAGCAATACATCAGAGCCATGGGTTACTCTGACCAGAAACAAAGCATATCATTGTGTTAGTCTCCTGATACAAAGTATGAACATGATTCTGACATCAGATTTGTCAATGGATTGTATTAATATTTTGTAACAAGAACAGAACTAGACTCTTTTGGATTATCAGGAGGCAGCAGCCTTTGCTTAACTAGAAAGAGTAAGAAATGCAGATAACAAACATCATCGACTTCCATTTGGTGTGACCTCCCAGATCACACCCTCCAGAAACTGTGAAATCTGTGAGAGTGGAAAGGTGAGTTCCCAACACCCAGCTAATTTTACAATGACTCCATGTTCTTGAATTTTAAAATAGCAATACTGACCGTTTTAAAAAAATTATTATCCCCCTAATTATACTTTCAAAACTCCTGAAGGCCATGATCATGCATTTGTATCAAGTGAGGGAGAGAGGAAGTCCAATAAACCCGGCTCTTACATCATGATTGAAGGGCCATATTATATGCCATTTCTGTCCCTCACTGGTAATACCATCCTGATAAATTAAGTCTTACCATCATCTTTGTCAGGCACAATAGTAACCTGAGTCCCTGGGAATTCTGAACCAATTCTTCCACCCATAGGCATGCTCAACAGAACATCAAACGTTTCAGCTTCTTCATACAGGGAATCGTCTATGATGACAATGCGGCACATTTTCTCTCGTTCATCTTTGTCAAAGCGGAGAATGCTGTTATGGTCCTCGGGCCTGGATATATAGTCCGAGTAGGACAGCACAGACGTTGGGACAGTACCAGTTGCTGTTCCTGTGAGACAGAAGTAAATAAGCAGCTGTAATATTTGTAAAGAATCCCTTATTAAGGTTGAATTGTACTCTCTTTAGCTTTCCATTTTTATTCCTATTTATTTTTAGACTGATAAGATGCATTCATTGCAAAGTATTTACGTGCATGTACAAAGAAACATAGGAGATGCCATACTGGATCAGGCCAGTGGTCTATCTAGTCCAGTATTCTTTCTCCAAGAGATGCTAGTACCAGCTGAGTCTGAGAAAGGTGTTAAGAAACAGTGAAGTGGGCAGTTAGGGGATTGCCTGTCCCACGGAAAGTTTCCTTTTAACGCTCCCAATAATTAAAGGCTCACTGAAGCCTTGAAGCATGAGGGTTGCTATCTCTTCCAGAACTTGTTTGGTTTTTTTAGTATTTACTATAATGCTACATTGGTATTATTATGATGTACAAAATAAAACAATTCTTAATAGCAGAACAAGTTGACTAACGACAAATCAATGAGCTCCTCCCTCAAATGAGTTTTTTTCGAACTGGGCTATGTTCTGTGTGAGAAGATGGTCTTAAAACTGCCCTAACGGCAACTAATGCAAACTCTGTTTGTTTTACTGAGCACAATGAACAATAGTTTTCATTTCTCTGTTTTTTTCTTTTTGCTGGCAAGACTCTGAAGAAACCTACGATATAGAACTGATAAAATATAACAATTTCTCTCATCTGAAAAATGTTACAAAGTCACTGCTGAAATACCCCTGCATTAATCTTCTCCAGCTATACTTTTTAGAACCAAATTCTGGCACTCTTTGTTTTCATTCCCAAACAAGTGTGCACTAACTATATCTCTTTGGAATTTCCAGATAGAAAACTGCTGTAATACCCACATGCCAATGTTGTGAAAAAGATTACAATTCAACTCAACATCTGGCCACTTAACCTTGCATGAAATAACCAGTACAACTGCTGAGACACTAATCCACAAATGTATTTACAAAATATTACACATTTCTGCCAATAAATAAGGCATTACACAAAAGAGAGACGTTTTAATCAGTGCAATTTAACATGTCACTTTAACATGTCAATCACTGGGAGTTGTGCACAGTTCAAGGGTACAATGTAGCCCAGAAACTTTTGGTTAAGAAGAAAATGGTTTTCAAAGTGTTATGGCTTTACATAACTATTCTGTTTTAAAAGTCAGCAGATTGTATTGTACTTGAAAGAGGTGAACTTGGTAAATGTACATATATTTAACAATAATAAGGGGAAAAGGCATACTTAGGTAATCAGCACTCTTGCAGTGTGTGCCCTGCTTTCAGGATTTCATTACGAGCTGCAGAAACACCTAATTTAATTCTCCAGCTTGACAATTATGCATCCAAGCTGATCTACAAAAAGCATTCATCTTTCCTGCTACCCAGATTTCTTTTGATAAGTGAGTATCTCAAAACACTACTCCATTTCTGTGCCTTTAACTTGGTGATCTCCAACCTTTCAGCTATGCGGAGCCATATGTAATTATTCTTGGGTTTGCAAGACCCGGGCAGTTGAGTGGCTGAGAGGAGTTTTAAGCTTATTCTGTATAATTGTACTGAAAAAGCATTTTATAATGTGCTCAGCTACAGGCTTTAACGTCAAACACCTCAATATAGAGTAAAAAAACTACATTGTGAGGTGAAAAATGTGGTTGAAAAACCAACCACATCAGGTTTTACAAGCAAAAAAATAACCAGGTAGCTTTCATCAAAGGTCTCACCGGTTTCAGAATTAGAGCTGATTGAAAGCTGGAATTTCTTTCCCTTGGGAAATTCTTCCAATGTTTATTTTCATTCCAATTCAGGACAAAATGTTGAAATATTGAAAGTAAGTTTTAAAAAATGGATTCAGAAACGCGGAAACATTTTGTTTTGATAATTTTGAACAAAACAAAACATTTCCACATTCCTAAACCAAGATGTTTCATTACAGCTCAGTTCAGCATTGACTTGTATTCAGATGAGCTGCCTGGTGCCTCATTCTCCTGTTCCTCCCTATGGGATGAGCTCCCTGGTTGAACTACATCTCTCACGATCACCATGGTGGTTCAGCTAGAGGAGAGATCACAGTACATCACAGACAGGGCCAGCTCTAGGCACCAGCAAAACAAGCTGGTGCTTGGGGCGGCACATTTTTAGGGGCGGCATGGCCGGCGCCGGCCATGCCGCCCCTAAAAATGTGCCGCGGCCGCCCTCCCTCATCCCCGCTTCTCAAACCTGGGAGGGAGGGGGAGATCCCGAGCGGCCGCGGCGCGCGAAACAGCTGTTTCGCGCGCCGCTGCTCCCCCTCCCTCCCAGGCTTGAGAGCCTGGGGGGAGGGGGAGCAGGGCTGGGGATTTGGGGAAGGGGCGGAGTTGAGGCGGGGCCGGGGGGGGGGGTAATTAAAAAACGGGGCGGGGGCGGCCAAAATTGTGTTTGCTTAGGGCGGCAAAAATCCTAGAGCCGGCCCTGATCACAGAGGGGAAACGTAGTCTGGCCAAGGAGCCCAGCCCAGAGGGCAGAACAGATGCATGAAGAATCTGAACAACATATCCCACAAGGCACTGCAGCAGCTCAGCTTTTCAAACAGAGCCACAATGAAACATTTTGATTCAGTTCCACTAACCTAAGTATTTCGATTCAGGGGAATCTGACCTAAAATGAAATATTTCATTTTAATTTTCCCAACAGAAAACTGAAAACTTTTGGTGCAGAAACCACATTTTCTATTGAAAATCATTTTGATGGAAAAACACGGGCCAGCTCTAGTCAGGGAAAAAAATAAAAAAATTAAAAATTAAAAGAATCATCTATGTACAAAGGCCCTAATTAAACATCCTATTCTGTACTCATTATTTTGCAGGTGCAAACAACTCTGGGCTCTACAGTGGACCTGCAATTATTTGATGCTGTAATACAGGTAATTTAACTGTCTACTTACCGGAGTTTAAAGTTTAGGTATCAAAGTGAACATATGATCCCTTTGCAGATGCCAAAAGGGAGGCTACTGTTTACAAATCTAATTCAGAAGGGGAGAGAAACAGACAGCTAGCCAAAATAAGCGCACAAAAGGCTTAACAGATGGGGTGGTAAGGAGAAACAATAATAATAATAAATACTATTTTTACTTCTATAGAGCTGTCCATTCAATTGTTTCTTTACAAACATCAATAAAGAAATCTTCCTGGAGCTCAGCTTTGTAGCATAGCCTCTCCAGACCTCAGGCCTCTTTGAAGCAGAACCACAGTGGTTCTGCTGCTTTATTGGCATTCTGTGGTGTTCCTATATATACTAGAATTTCTCACTAAAAAGAAGAGGAAACCTGTAATACTCAGGAAAAAAAGCCAAAATATATTTCTCTCTGTCATAAAAGCTATGCACTTAGCTTAAGCACGGCTGTATCTTTTTTAAAAAGCTTGTCATTGTTTAATGAATTCAAATGGAAAAAACTACTTCTACTATCATACTACCTGTAGAGAATATTTCATCTGGAGGATCTCAAAAAACATAATTGACATTACTTCCAGACATTAGGTACTGTATACAAGACCCTGTGAAATAGGCAAGGAATATCGATCAATGAACTGCAACTACTTCTAGAATGGAACACAGCATCTATTTAACAATACACAGCAACAGTTTAAGACATAAAGTAAAGAGGAATAACATTACCAATTGACATAGAAACTAGACAAGCAGAAAGTAATTACCAGTGCTGGGAATTATTTGTATATTCTGCAGACAGAAATAATAATTATTTTAGCTTTGGTTATTATTTTCACTCAATCTAGATTCTGTTACCTTGCTGTGTATAGCAAATCACCATCAATTCCTGGCTGACATCTCCACTTCTTCTGACAGGAATGAACAGTTCTCCAACGTCTTCTTCAATTGTGTAGGTGGATTGAGAAATAAAAACCGTTGATTCTGCAGAGATCAGACATATTTATTTGTGTTACTTTATATATTCAAAGAGTCACAGAAGAAATAGCCAGAAGTTCCCCACACCATGAATTCAATGTAACAAAATACTCATTTCTCAATGGTATAACGAAATGTTAATGAAATTTTGCAGCCAAAAGGAAAGCCAGAACCAAGGCCTGATGCTCTGAGGAAGGGGTTCTCAAACTTAATTGCACCGTGACCCCCTTCTGACAACAAAAATTACTACATGACCCCAGGAGGGGGGACCGAAGCCTGAGCCCATCCGAGCCCCGCTGCACTGGGCAGGGGTGGGGCAAAGCTAAAACCCAAGAGCCTCAGCTTCAGTCCTGGGTGGTGGGGCTCAGGCTTCGGCTTCAGCCCCGGGCCCCAGCAAATCTAATGCCAGCCCTGGCAACTCCATTAGAATGGGGTCGGGATCCACTTTGGGGTCCCAACCCACAGTTTGAGAACCACTGCTAAGCCCTTACTGATAAGTCGTTCCTAATCAGAGAAGTAGTTCCACTTCCTGGGATTTAATCACTGTAATGGGACAAATCATGTGATTTACCATTACACCTGTCAGTAAGGGTTTGAAGGACTGGTCCTCCAGTGTACATCCAGAATTCTATCCAAGTTCTTTTAGTATTTCTAGACTATTATTATTACTAGCTGTTAGCCACGAAAGGTTCGCCACTGAGGATCACACAATCATTTCAGTATCTGCCTCTCTGACAGAAATTCATTAAGACCATTCTTGCTCATTTTGCACACCCAAAACATCTGTTGGAGTCCTTTGGCATTTGGAGTGCTTAAGATGCAGGATTGGGTCCTTTGTGACATTCACTTTGACTCCACACTATTGTCCTTAGTGCAGGGACCATCTTTTTGTTCTCTGTACAGTGGCTAGCACGTGGTGCTACAATAATACAAAGAAATAATAATAATTTAATTTTATAAGAAGTTATAAATTTACCAGCCAAAGAGTGATCCCTAATTTTGTTCTTTGTTTGATTTGTCTGCAACAGTGTAACCAAAACATAGACTTCAAAAGAAAACTGGCCATTAGTCTGAGCTCATAGAAAATCCTGTAAAACATGTAGGATTTGGGCATGTCCATTATCTCTTTAGGCTTATATATAAAAAAATAAGTCTCCTCTTTCATGTTCTCTGGAATTCCTTTTTCTTATCTAAATAAGTGCTGCAGGCATATTTTTTCTTGTAACCAGTTTTGCTCTTTTGACTGGGAATGTATCTTCTGTTAATTAAAGCTAGCTATTTCCTTTCGGGTGCCAGAAGGGAAGACAGCAAAAATTCACCACTAGCCTTGAAAGTTATTTTAGCATTCTCTACTTCTGCAGAATTCTTAAAAACATCAGGCGTACGAATGTCAGGTCCTATTTTTCAGACAAAGCAAATAAAACACTGAACAATCTGAAAACAAAAACTTCTAGTTATTCTACATTCCTATAAAGGCCATTGGCTTTTATGGTGCCTTTGGAGTTCAGATTCTATTTTCTTATGTCCATCAAAAACTTAAGAGAAATAGGTAGTTGTGGATACAGAGTATCCATTCACCCTTACAATTTCAGCAAAGATTATCTGTAATTAATCAAGGTTACTTTAATATAGAGGGTAACACAAACAAACAAACAAACCTCAATTTTTTAAAATCCAACTGCTGTAATGTTTCTGTATAACTTAGATGACTATGCAAAGCCAATTATTTGGTTATTTCAAAATTTTTTGTAAGCAATTTCCTGAAAGTGTAATGTGATTTCTGTGAAAGGATGTCCCACTATGCATTTTCTGCAATTGGAAAATGCTACTCGCATGAGAGAAGGTCAAAAGACTGCTATAAAAATGCTGTAATTCTGGTTCGATAAGATCTGTTGACTTTTATTATTTCAGAAAGACAAAAAACACCATAGGAAAAATATCAACCTTTTAGTTTAAAGTAATACCAGCATAATCTTTAAAGAACTGATTTTTCTTTTTCTGTGGAAATAAATTAATGCAGAAAAAGTATATCCTATGGAAAAAATGTTAAAGATGATATACATTTTGTGCATCCTGTGTTTGCATGACTATGTAACTATACTGTTTAAAATCGCACACAACAAATTAACAAATCTGACATATGGAGGTAGCAAAAATCTTTGGGGAAATGGTCTAAACCTTTCCGTGTTATGATAGCTGCCTAAGGCTCATGGCTGACTGAGTTTATATTCTCTAGAATTAGTATATGAAAATTCTTCTTTATTCAACACCTTCCTGTTGTAACACAACAGTACTTCCGACTTATTAAGGGCTGGCTCAGCTTTCAGCAGGGTCTCATTATTTAGTGCCTAATTCTGAACCACTTCAGTAAATGGGAGTTTTAACAATGACTCCAGTCAGCACCTACACACACGATCCACCAACATTTTGAAAGATGAATTGAGAGACCAACCCTATTTCTCCCCCCCCACACACTCCAGTTGCCAAAACAACCCCAGGTTCCCCCTCTTGCCATATGAAATCTTGAGGGTTGGCACTGATTAAGGACCCTTAATCACACAACCCTGATAGAGCTCCCACTGGTGATTATAGGAACTGCATGCTTAGTCACTTCTATGTCCTCAACAGACTGTATTTAATTTTGAACTTGATCTACAAACAGTGCTGCCCTCTGTAACTAAATAGGGATGCAAGATAACCCCCAGGTTTGATCTATTTTAAATCTGAAACTAGCAAATGAAAAAGATCTGCTGGACACGTTTTTTCCTGCCCAGCCACCTTCAAGTGTTAATTCGAAAAGAACCATATAAAACAAGCTGTTCCAGCTTTTGCTTCTCTCAAGATTCCTTACTGACATCTTTCTGTGACCATGACCACTTGTTTCAAGTGTCTGGATGCAGTTCAAAAGCAAAACCTCCAAATGTTACCAGGGCTGCTACTCCAGCACATGCTTTTGTTATCGCTTCTCTCCTCAGCTACATTCAACTATCGTTTTCTCTATTCTTGACACCTCCGCTGTCAAATTTATCCCTGAAAATAAACCAGTTGTACATTCACCCCTAATACTATTTCTCTCCCCTAAATCCCTGCTCGGGCAGCAGCAACCTGTGCAGAGCTTCTGAAGCTGGGAGGCAAGAGCAACTGGAGCAGATCTTTATATTATATTGGGAGGCTCAAGTGTCACCAAGGGGACTTGCCCATCCCTTACTCCATGTGTGGATGGGTGTGTGTGGGGGGAAGAACAGGGGAAAATAGTATGCTTTGCTGAGGAGCATCAGCCAGGAAGGCTTATCTTGGTCCATGCACCCCAGTCAATCTCCCCAGCTGTCATTCAGCTCTAGAGAGAGATTTCTCACTCCCACAGGAACACCAGCCCTGAAGTCAGAAGGCAAATGTTTCAGAGAAACAGGGTTGCAGGCACATCATGTTGAAGCCTCTGTGCTGAAGGCACAGCTTGAGCTAGAATTTGGCTCAGTGATGCCTAACTGCTTATTATGATGATGAAGAAGCTACAGTAGCACCCAAAGAGCTTACAATGTAAATTGAAATCAGATATACCTAACATAGCACTTTACATATTTAAAGGGATTTGCAAACATTAAATAAACTCTGAGCAACTTGTGTTAGCTGAAAATATTATTAGAGGAAATAGGAGATGTCTTCAGAATGATTTGGTAGAGTCAAGCATGCAGCTAACGAAATCATGAGTGATTTACTTAAATCTGGGGTAACGAAAGTGGTTTCTGAATTTAGAACTACCTTTGGAGGCCACTGTTGGTGTGTAAATTATTTCACGTTCAGTATAAGGTAAATATACATGAGATAAAATCAACATCATCAGGTTACACTTTTTAAGTATATTGAACAACAAAGCAGAGTTTTTTCTCTACTTCTCTAAATTGATTTCCTCTGTGCACTCCACTAATTATATCTTTGAAGAAGGTTTAAGGTTTTTTTGCCTGACCTTACAAAACAGGCAGATGTCTACTAGCACATGAGCAGTACTGAGAGTATGGCTTTTCATTGGAAAGGGGACCCTAAAAGGTTTAGGAAGACTATGAGCCTCAATAGCAGTTCAGTCTATTCAGTCCACAATAAAACAATGCAGAACTAATAAACGAGGGTAAAGCCTTGAAAAAATATATTACACGTATAAAAACATACCACATTCATTAGGTTCCCATGAACTACCACTGAACGTGACCTATGTCAAAACATTAAGATGATACCTAAATCTGTTCTCAAAAATACAATATTGAAGGAATCACTTTACCAGTCCTTTCTTACAGTTTCCTCTGCAGCTGTCTCTACAGATTCAGAATAACATTATTGAAATGTCTTTACCATCTCCTGGGTCAATAATTTCCACTGTAGCCACTTCAGGAAACTCTAGGACAGCCATGACAGGCTCAGAAAGCACAATTTGGAAGGTCTCAGACTGCTCATGTTCACCATCACTCAAAATCCGCACTCTCCAGGTAGCTAAGGTTTGGCCAGGATTGAATTGCACCTGCTTCTGGGCTTTTCCTTTGAAGTCTTTATCCTTCTCAGCAGTACCATCTTTAGTGCTAATACCTGCAGAGAAAAACAGAAAATAGGACCATTAACAACAGATCAATTCTATTTTTCTGTCATTCACAGATTCATAGATTTCCAGGTGAGTAGGAACCATTGTTATCATCTAGTGACCTGACCTCCTGTATGACACAGGCCATAGAACTTCCCTGAATTAACTCCTGTTTGAACTATAATCATTACTGATTTGCCACTATCAAATAATAGTTTAGAAAATATACACTTTTCCCAACAGAGGGTATTAATCTGCAGGGTTTAGGTTGTTGGGGAAATCTTCAGAAATATATAGGAGCCACCCAACGTAACCTGTTACTCTGTATCAGAATTTGTGTTGGAACATCCAGCACAGGTAAACACAGATTAAACAAGGTTGGCCACTGTCACCCAAATCAAAACTAACTGCTGGTAAATTAAATACTTTCCATGCTAAATGTCAGCTTTTCTACCCCAGGACATTTCAGCTACGTAGTTGTTTTTGTTCTTTAATTCTCTGCTACTCAAAAATGCCTGCACCCTTTTTGCTGAAACTTTCAAAAAACCATTTACCACTTTCAGACAGAGACCGAGCCTGGAAAATTTTTGCTTGAAAGATGAAACTTTGGGGAAGTTATGAACAACTAAACATGGGAAATGACAACGAATGGTTATGAAACCTGAAATATAGTGACACCCCCACTACAATAACTATACTTTGGTGACATCAGATTGTTTCAGACTTTATATAATGGCCACCACTAATCTCAAACTTTTCATGGTCAAAATCGGGTATCAAAGCCAAGGGATGAAATTCAGCACTGTGCCCCTTAGAGAGACAACACAGAACTTGCAGCCCAGGAGGCTGGGGGTCTGAGGTATCTTTAAGTCATCTTTGTGCCCTCCTGACTTGGGCTACCTCAATGTAAATTAGACAGCCTGTGAAAATTGTCTCCAACACATATCTCTGCCCTCATCTCCGCCACTGGAATGGCCCCCACAACAGGGTTTCTGCGGAGGCCCTCAAAATACAACTTGTGGCTGTCTTTTCCACTTCTGGCACTGGGAGATTTCCCCTGCCAGATCCAGGGCTTTTAGAGACCCTTTTGTCACTCCAGGCCCTTTACCCTGTATATTGAGACAGGAGAGGGGGATAAGAATCTCCCCTAACACCTTTTTCATTCTTTTACAATCCTAGAATTACACTCAAAAGGATTAGGTTAGTCAGATGCAAGTTAACCAGCCAGTCAGTCTTGGGAGCAGTTCCTTGTTAGAATCAGAGCCCAAAGTATTTAGAAACTAAACTCAATTCATTTTCCAGAGGCAGAAAATTTTGTACATACTGTTATTGAAAAGGTCAGACGACAAATTTGTATTGTTACTGATTTTATTCAAGGAAGTATCTGTTAGCCAATATCAACAACTATTTAAACCAATCAACAAAATTCCTTAACTTGTGCTTTATTATTATACATAGGGCTGGAACTATGGGTGCTGGCTTGAAGTGGTTTCCATCATATCCAGGGTTTACAGTTTGGTTCAATGGCTCTCAGCACCCCCACTATACACATTGTTCCAGCACTCCTGTTATTCTGTATTATTTTCCGATGTAGCGTTTGCTCTTTGAAAGAAAAAAAAAGTACATAGCCAAGTTAATTGTCATAAACAGAGTCACTTAGACCCTGCTTCAGCTAGGAACTTAAACATGTGCCTCGCTTTAAGCAGTGCCTATTGATTTCAGAGGGACTTCTTGTGCTTGAAGCGTATCTTGCTGAATCAGGGACTTAAACTGTTTTCCCTCTTCTTCCAATCAGTTTAAGTCTTGCCTGCTATGCTTTGACCTGAACTTGTGCAAGATTAATATTTCAGCATCCAAATGTATCACTACTGCCAGTGCAGAGGGAATTGGAATTTTTAAAAAAAAGCAGATCCAGAAGCCAGAGATATGTGTGAGGTTGTAGAATGTGATAGCACTTTCCCCCCCTTCTCACTCCCCATCCTCTGTGAGCAGTTTTCAACACCTCTTGGATCAAAAGGCAATTCACTGGCAACATTGACCAAAGAAAATGAGCCTATTTGCTGCAGTTCCTAATGCATATGCTGGTCATTGCTTGATCACATCAGTTCACAGCAGTGTGGCTGGTAAAGGATATATAATAAAGTTTGTCTTAACAGTTGATGCCCACTATCCTCTACAAAACAAATGCACAGGAGAAAAACTTTATGACTATACTCTCAAAACAATTCCTCAACTTATAGGCAAAGAGTTAGTGCTGTCTTTGGATTTAATTGAGGCTAGAATCCAAATTCTTTGTTGTCTTTATTTATAAAGCATAGATATTCATGAATGTAAGCTCCTCAATAGATGCTCTTCTTCGGTATCCCACTAAACATAAATGGATTCAACAAAAAAAGATAGGTTCCTGTCTTTAGTGAAAACTCCGTCTTTTTATTGTTCACAGACACCGTATGTGTGAATTCTTCATGTTTAACGACAAGATCAAATACTGCTCACTCTGCTCGGGTGACTAGTCCTTATCAATCCAATTATTCACATTTTAATTGATCTATGTTCTACAGCTAGACACAACTATTATGTACAATTAATCACATACCCGTGTGTGTGTGTGATTTGTATACAGTTATTGTGTCTGTCTGCAGCACGTAGATCAGTGGTCCCCAAAATGTAAGGCATGCCCCACAAAGGGGGCGAGGAGGAACTTTTGGGGGGCACATGGTGAGACCCAGGCCAGCCTCCATGGGGGGTGGTAGGGAGCACCCCCCATCCCCGCTCTGCCCTGAGCCCAGCTCCAGCTGCAGCTCCACTTCCCCCCATCTCTGCTCCCAGCCCTTCTTTGCCTCATTCCCTCTCTGCCCCAAGCTCAGCTCTGCCTCTAGCCCCAGCTCTTCCCCCATCCCCAGTTCTGCTCCCAGCTCTGCTGCTAAGCCAACTGTGCAGCAATGGGGGGAGGGAGGGGAGCTGGACAGATTCCATTATTGGTAAGTAGGGGCATGACAGCAAAGTTTGAGCACCACTGATGTAGATTAATTCCTAATACATATGCCTGGGGAGATAGGAATGGAATCCTACTCTTTCGGCTCAAAAATACAGAACTAAAGAAAATTCAGAACTATAGTAGACCCTCTTTAGTTACAAGTTGTAATAAGCCTCCCCAGTCACTCAGCTACCAGAGAACAACATCACACATGTGCGTGTGGGCATACGCACACAGACACACAAAACCAGTGGTTTCCAAGTGAGTAAGGCGAGCAGGATTTGCTGCACTGCTGGCACTGGCAGCACCATCTCAAGATACTTCTCCGATTGGATTATACCATCAGATCACCCAACCTTATCCCTCATTTCTAAAAATAAAAAATGTAGCATTGAGAGAAGAATTTCTCCCCCCAGCAATTCTTGTTTTTAAACTAGTTCTCAATCTTTCCTCAGTGTTGGACTGGCCATGTTTGAGATGGCAATTGGTTGTTTAAGCTGTTTCACTGTCCTCTCTTATATAGGATTCCGGGGACCATTTAGATTTATCAAGGATCAAGTTTCCAGAATATAAGAAAAACTCAAACAACAATTGCATACTGGATTCCGCAGTAAGATCTATCTTTTAGACAGTAATTGAATTTTTCCATAAGTACTATGCAACATTGGTGAGGATATGAACTTTCTGTTAGGTATGAATCCCAAAACTCTACTTTCTGCTAAGATCAGTTAATGTTATAGTCGGAGTTCATGTGAGTAACTTATTTTACATTTTGTGGGGGAATTTAGCTTCCATTGAAGAAAAGAAGTGACTTGGAACAGTCATAGTGTAGTAGGCTGGGAAGTCTGTTGAGCAGAAGCTTCAGTTATGCTAAAATCATGCAACACTGTGGTGGTTTCGTGGTGTAAACAAATGAAGGACTATGATTAAAACCACTTTTCCCCCCTTCCCACTTGTGGTCCCAGAGGGTATGTCTACACAAGGATAAAAGACCCGAGTCACAGCGGTGGCTGGCCTGGGTCAGCTGACTTGGGCTTGTGGGGTTCGGGGCTAAAAATTACTGTGTAGATGTTCAAGGCTCAGGTTGGAGTCAGAGCTCTGGGACCCTCCACCACAACCCAAGCCCAAATGGCTATACAGCAATTTTTCAGCCCTGGAGTCTTAGTCCCTGGAGTCTTAGTCAGTTGACCCGGGCGAGCTGCAGGTTTTTTATCCCTGTGTAGACATACCAAGAGAGGCTTTAACCTAGGAATCTGCTACAACACTTCCTTTATAGATGACCTATTCTATAAACCAAGGATGTCCCTCCATTTCCATCTAAATGGAACAATTTGATTAATAAGACAAGTTTGAAATCTGACCTGACTTACCTCACTCATAATTTCTCTGAAGTCAATGGAGTTAGTCTGGATTTACAGTAGTGTAGATGACAGGAGAATATAATCCACAAGTAGAAAATAAACAATTTTAATACAGAAATATTCTCCTCTCAAACTCATATGGCATATCAACTCCTCTATGAGCACAAACTCCCATTGACATCCAGGGGAATTCCACATGCACAGAAAGTACAGAGTAGTAGGGCTGAGATCAAATATGTGGACTGGAAAGGAAATGCTTTCCCACATTGCACAATTACAGCTGAGCTTTGTATTAATTATTCTTGCAGAAACTTTGCTCTAGGTATAAAAGCATAAAATTTTTGCTCGTTTTAATTTGGATAAAAACAGATACAGATATAGAATAAAAATGGAAAGCAATGGACAACCTGCGGATTTTCTTGAAATGCTGCAGTACCCAATACATCTTAGAAAATATAGATTCTGCTAAATTCTCAATCCTACTGCAGTTTGTTATTATGACTGATGAGGATGAGCAGGCTACAAATGGAATGCTTTTATTTCCCAGTTGTTAAATAACATTTTGTGGTTAATCACCCATAGGGGTAGCACACTAGAAATTAGCTGAAGTACAGCTGTTGTGGGATGGAATTCCTATGTATGGAAATAATTCTGTATAAAAAAGGTATTGTTAACCATTATCCTTGAAGGTATTTGGCAAATTCCACAAATTGTAACTATTACAAAAGATAGTTTCAAGTTGTAAGTTGTTTGAAAAGTTTCAGTAATTGAGTTTATTAATTAAACTTACCTATTTAGCTGTGGTTAACCAAATAAGGCTACTCAATAACACATGAATTCATGCAAAACACAACTGCAGATGCAAGTAATTGTAAGGATGGTTAAAAAGCTTTCTGATCCCAGTTTGACAGTTCCTTTCCACTAGTAAACAGACTTAGTCTATAAAGTGTATGTGCATATGCATGTGTGAGACAGAGAGTAACATTTACAAAAGCACTGAAGAGACAGATTTGTAGAGGTATTTAGGCACCTAATGATGCTAATTGGTGTCTAGTGGGATTTTCAAAAGCACCTCAGCATGTTAGGTGCATAACTCCCCTTAGGAACTTTTGAAAATCTCACTAGGTGTCTATATGCATCTTTGAAAATACCTTCGAAAATCCGGCCCTTGGTCAGTTAGGTGCTTTTGAATATTTTGTCCAGTCAGTAACAAAGGATAAAATTCTGTAGCCTTAAATCAAGCAAAGTTCCCATTCACTTCAATACATGTTCTACCTGACAAAGAAGTGCTGAACTGGTCTCAAAAAGTATTGATAAAAATTCAGTGCTGGAAAATCTGACCAACCACCAAGCTTCTGAAATATATTTTATAGTCCAGTTCATAAACTAAAATCTATGTAATTAAAATATTTTTATTGTATTCCAATTAATATTCCCTAGCAAACTCTTTTTTCCCAAGTGTCTAAACTTTTCTGTCTCAGAAAACTTTAGAGCATTTTCAAACTAGAACCTTTTCAGGTTCTCCTTTAGTTTTAAGACCTTGCTTAAAAGACGACTGTTGATAACTGTTCATAAGCAGCATAACTGGGGACTAAAACGACTAAAATCAGAGTGCAACTTTTTAAAAAAATAAACTGATCACATTCCACATTTTTGTCTGGCTTCCAATCTGTTCATGTGTATTAAATTGACATACCCAAAATATTTTCTCTCCATATATATATTCCACTTGATAATGGAAGAGATAATTACCCTTCCGTCCTCACCTCTCCTAAAGTGTCCTCCTGGTTTATGACAATACAAGCCCTCTCCCTAACCATCAGCCCAACTGCCCCATCCCTAAAAGAAAGTGTTTCACAGCCTGGGACTGATGATGATAACTGTTGCTGTTTTATATTGAGCATTAAGTCAGCTAGAGAAACTTCCCCCTCAAATCTTTGCATTTGACACTCTCAGTCTTGTAATGACAAAGGTCAACGAAAATTATGAGTAGATACAACACATAATTTATACTCTCTGATGCTGCACCATGGCCAATTCTTTGGAAATATTATGTATCAAATGGAATTGCAAAAGGATAAATTTGTTCTTTTCATTCTTCTGGCACTCTGAGTGACAGACCCTGTACATACTAACTTGAGCCAAATGTTCCAAGTAAGTTCCATAAAAATTCATCCCAGAGTCAGAAATCACAGCTCCGTTCAGTGGGCTAATGGATATTTGGCCGCAATCTATAAATGAGGTATTTTCTACAGGTGTGCTAAACACAACACAGATAAATATGCAAAAATGCACAAATTTATGAAACCACCAGTTTTATTGCACATTCTTTAGTTTAAGCATTTTTAGTTTTCAGTGTATAATGGATCAAATTTAGTATTTTTTTAATTAAAAGGATACTTCATATGAAAAAGGAGTTTGGGGAACTAATTAGGGTCAAGGGGGCCCTTTCAGAGCTCCAATTTCAACCCTGTTAACCTAATTTGCTTGTAAAGATATATGGCCTTATTTTGCTCCCATTCAAGCAAATAGAATTTCTACATTTGAATTCAAAGAGAAGGATTGGGTCCATGGCAGCTATAACCAGCGATGAGTTGCTGCAGAAACCAGAAAATGTACAGATGAAAGAACCAATGTGGTTACTGTTGAAAAGGAAATTCCTACTAAAGATTGATTTTTGACTCGAAGAGGACATAAAACTATCAGTAACTGATTTGTAATTTGATTTTGTGCCTTAGTTTAAATGAATCATACAATTATTTGAACAAAAGAACCTTGTCTAATAAATATGCATTCTAGTGTACCTAGTTGGATGAGTACCAAACAATACCAAGGTAACATACTGTGACACATTTTGCTAATCTTGTTGGTCTATGGCTCAGAAGTAATTGATAGGATTGGAACTTACTAATAAAAGAGGTTTCTCCCAGGTAACCTCTCCGCTTAAGAACAACATCTAGATATTTAGAGTCTTCATTTACCAAATAATATTCCTTCTCTAAAGAGATCCAGGCCCAGTTCAAACGAAAATGCTGGCTCTTCAGCTTATTGCCTCCTGTAAAACAAAATGAAAAAGAAATGCTTATTCACCTTGCCTTTATTTTCTCAGTGATGCAAATTAATGTATCCTATCTAAGCCATATGTTTCAACTGTAAATTCAAATTCCTAACATCGTGGAGGTTTAACAGTAAGAAAAAAACTAATCATCAAGTAGTCTATGACACATTTCATATACACAGAAACAAATTCTATGCTGGATGCATAGAACAGGTCACATTACAACTAGGATATGGACCAATTAATCCATTTTGAGTTTTCATCAAAATAATGCTTGAGTTCCCTGTATTTAAAACAAATGAATGAATGACCCAAAACTTTCCAAATCTGAGTTTGTATTTCCAAAACACACATTACACAGGATATCATGTGGAACTTCTGAGATATGATCAGAGTGCCTCAAGCAAAGGAAGGCACATATTATCTTAAGAAATCGGAGATGATATCTGCAATCATTCAAACTGCTACAGCAAAATTAAATACAACTTCTGACACATCACTCCACAATTGCAAAGAGACTAATTCCGGTTACGTGGGAAATTAATCTTTACCCATACAGCGTGCTCTGAAAGATCATTGTTTTGTTCAGTGATCCAGTGTCTTTCTGGCTCAGCGATTATATGTCAGGTATGTGTTACATAACATATTTATGACACAGCTTTCACATCTTATTAGCAAATGGTTTGAGAAAGATTATGTCTTCCTGATAGGTGGGATACTCTTCAAAAGCATATGAAATTATAACTGTAAACTTAATCATAAAAGCATGATTTATCTTCATAATGTAAGGTGATTTAGAGCACTGCAGATGGTTATTGTCATTCCCATGAATCACTTTGGGAAAACACATGCATGTATACTAGATTCAGCAATGATTATTTTCTTCTAAGGCTTTCAATTTATATATTCTATTGATTAAGCCCCCAAACTGAATCACCCTGCCGGCTGGGATTTTTTGAAATTTAAATTACTACACATATAGATCAAGTACTGTCCCTAACAGTGTCTGTGACATGGCACAAGAAGCAACCCTATGGCACAACTGAGTACCACACCTATGGAAGCAAACTGAAATCCTGAGTGGGGAACGTCCCTAGTAAAGCAGCAGCAGCAGCAGCACAACTTCCCAGGAACGGTCTGGGACGCTGCAGAGCCTGACTGCCATGCCTTCAGACACTGCAAGTGAAGTCCAGCATGGCAGTGCCACCCCAGTGGGAAGACTGAATGGTCAATATGGATTGAGATGGCATTCCTGGATGGCAGCTCTATGTGTTGATGACATGGCCATCACGTTGAAGATCATACCCACACACTCATCACTGAAAGAGCCTCTACAACACCCTTCCTCCCATTCCTGTGTGGATAATGCTTATATTGTTCATCATGAGTACTCTACTTTTGTGACCAGGCAAGTATGAAAAAGAGGAACAGGATCCAGAGTTGGAAAGGGGAACTCATTCACGTGCCTTCCTTCCCATTCGACTCCAAGCATCTGTATAATACAAGCCCGCAAGCTAGGTATGGACCTGCCCTATTCCTAGCACCAGTCACACTCAAATGCACCTACTTTACATGGCCTTCTAGAGTTTACACAATCGGAAGAACATAGCACTTAGATATGGTGAAGACAGGCACTATAAAAAAAAGACAAACCAGACAGACAGAGCTTAATCTACTCTAAAATAAATGTTTCAGAAGAAACATCTGTAAACAGATGGCACTTTAAAGGCCTACATAAGAACACGTTTTTGTCAGATGGAAAGATAAGAGTTGCACAGAGGTAACAGATGTATCACTGGCAGAGAGCTATGTACTGGTTGCACATGCTTATTTATTTGTATAACAAGCACAAAAAACCCCACGCAAACAGATTAAAATGATGATGATAAAATATAGCAGAGTTTTATTTTCTGATGTACAGTTTACTTCCATCTGCTACAGATTATCCTAGGTGAAAGGGCAACATAATATCAGATTGTAAATATAGGTATTGTGACTGTCAGACAGAAGTTCAGAACCCATCAATATTGAGTGAGTCAACATGGTGGAGACTGTTTGCCATTACTCTGCCTCGGCCCTTCATTTCCAGAGAAAGATTAAAGCAGTGATCAGCATGGTCGTGGGAAAAATATATATCTAGCACTGGGAACAAAGATGTCCTCTTATCAACAGACTCATGGGCCTATTTGCTCCCGTGAGAGTATGCAGTCTGGCTCCCCTCCTACAAGGCACTGCGGAAGGGCAAGGTTTGCAGGGATAACTGATGGCTAAACTGTGCAGAGAATTGACTCGAGAACTATTGTCATTTAAGATTTTTATATAAAAGTTGTAAACAAAATATATTTTATTGGACTGCAGGAGAAATATTTTCGAGTCTTTTAGTCCTCTCAAATTTTAACTACAGTAGGAAGGGACAAATGGAAGGTTTTTTTAATAATGTGTTCCACTCCATTCCCTTGAACAAACAGACAGCCTTTTAAGTTACTTCCACTCTGCTCCCAAGATAAACCTTTATACAGTGGGGGGGAGGGATAGTTCAGTGGTTTGAGCATTAGTCTGCTAAACCCAGGGTTATAAATTCAATCCTTGAAGGGGCCACTTAGGGATCTAGGGCAAAATCAGTACTTGGTCCTGCTAGGGAAGGCAGGGGGCTGGACTCAATGACCTTTCAAGGTCCCTTCCAGTTCTAGGAGATAGGATATCTTTATTATTTTTATTTATTTTATAATTGTATTATACATTCTTCTTTATGGAGCTATCAGAAAAAATGTGAAAGCTACTGTACTATGCAAATGGAAGCAAAATAGTTATCAAAGTATCATGCTGCAGTCACTGACCTAACCTATTATTATTCCTTTGAACTGTACCAACTGTTGTGGAGAGAGGGGAGTCTTACAAATGGATGTACCAGTAATTGCTGTACAGCAGTGGTCTCCAACTTTTTTATGCACAAGATCACTTTTTGAATTTAAGTGCAACCCAGGATCTACCCCGCCCCTTCCCCAAAGCCCCACCCTGCTCTCTTCATTCCCCCCCCCCTCCATCGCTTGCTCTCCCCCACCCTCACTCACTTTCACCGGGCTGGGGCAGGAGGTTGGGGTTCAGGAAGGGGTGCGGACTCTGGGCTGGGGCCAAGGGATTTGGAGTGTGGGAGGGGGCTCCAGGCTGAGCCCGGGGCAGGTGGCTGGGGTGCAGGAGGGGGTGAGGGGTGCAAGCTCTGGGAGGGAGTTTGGATGCAGGTGGGGACTCCGGGCTGGGGCAGACTGTTGGGGTGCAGGAGAGGGTATGGGGTGCTGGCTCTCAGCGGGAGCTCAGGACTGGGGCAGGAGGTTTGGGTGTGGGAGGGGATTTGGGGTGCTGGCTATGGGAGGGGGCTCACGGCTAGGGTGCATTCCAGGCCAATGGGAGCTGCAAGGGCAGTGCTTGCAGGCAGGAGCAGTGTGCAGAGATCCTGCCCTCTGCCCCAAGGGGCATGCTGGCCACTTCCAGGGTGGCGTGGGGCCGGGGCAGGCAGGGAGCCTGCCTTAGCCCGGCTGCGCCGCTGGACTTTTAGCGAACAGAGATCGCGATCGACTGGCAGAGACTCCAGGATCGACCAGTTGATTGCGGTCTATGGGTTGGTGACCACTGCTGTACAGTGTTTATACATTGAGCACAACAGTTAAAACACTAAATACAGCTATCTATTCAATGTTAATTAAGCCTGTATTTACTTTAGCTAAAACATGGTTCTATTAGCCTAGTGAAGTTCAGTGTCAATTTCATAATTAGAAGGAAAGGAAGGAGTGAGAGTAGCAGAATAAGGACAATGGACTTTAAAAAAGCAGACTTTACAAAACTCAGAGAACTGGTAGTTTTTATTCCCTTGGGCCTATCTACGGGAAAAAGGAGTTCAGGGGAGCTGTCAGTTTTTCAAGGAGACAATATGAAAGGCACAACTGCAAACTATCCCGATATGAAGGAAAGACAGGAAGAATAGTAAAAGGCCAATCAGGCAGGGGTGCTGGAACAATTTTTATAGTGAGGGTGCTGATCATGGATTGGAAACCATGTATTTGGTGTTTGTTATTACTACGTCAAGCCAGGGGGTGCCATGGAGTTCCAGCACCACTGCAATCAGGAGCTCTTTAATTACATGAAAATCAAAAAGGAATCTTACCAAATAAAGGAACCATGGACAAATTGCTAAGTGGAGTACAAAAGTCTGGGGTGTATTAACAGAAGTGTCATATGTAAGACATGGAATGTAATTAGAACTGATGAAGTCTCAGATGGAGTACTGTGTCCAGTTCTGGGTGCCACACTTTAGGAAAGATGTGCAAAAATTGGAGACATTCCAGAGGAGAGCAACAAAAATGATAAAAGGTTAAGAAAATCTGACCTATGAGGAAAGGTAAAAAACTGGGCATGTTTATTCTTGAGAAGAGAAGGTTGGAGGAACTTTGTTAATAGTCATCAAATATGTTAAGGGTTGTTATAAAGAGGACGATGCTTGATTTTTTTCCATGTCCACAGAAGGTAGGAAAAGAAGTAAGGGGTTTAATCTGCAGCAAGGGAGATTTAAGTTAGATATTAGGAAAAGCTTTCTAACTACAGGGTAGTTAAACTCTGGAATAAGTTACCAAGGCAAGTTGTGGAATCCCCATCATTGGAAGTTTTTAAGAACAGGTTGGACAAACACTTATCAGGGAGGATCTAAGTTTACTTGGTTCTGCCTCAGTGCAGAGGGCTGGACTTGATGACATCTTAAGGTCCCTTCCAGAAGTACATTTCTATGACAATGTCCCTTATTAGCTTTTTAAGGCAAAAGTGCATGGGGATACTTTTTAATACTGTGTTGCAGACACAGGCTTTTACACAACGTTTTAAACAGCTTATTAATGGTTTTGTAATTGGTCTCAAATTTCTTGCTCACTGCTTTAAATAGTTTAAACCTCTTTCTGGTCTACTTTATATTGGCACACAGTTTTGTACATGAAAAAACTATTACTTAACAG